CCATCGGTAGCAAGGTGGATTGCAGATGAGTAATCAAAATAATTTTTTCAAAGACAAGTTCTCTCTCAGGTTTCATATTTCTTCTAGATATTTGCTTGTCTGGACTGCTTGCTTGACCGATTTTCTTTTTAAATTTGAGAAAGATAACCTCAAATCATCAAGTACCAGAATGGTCAGCACTGCATAAAATCTTGAAGGGAACTGAACAATCTAATGTGAAGCTAAGAGGACCTTAGCCTGTCTTGAGTAAGAGTAAGTGGCATTACTGTATTTGCAACACATTATTTGGCACTTCTACTTGTATGTTTATACATATAAAAATTATATATGTACACACATATACATGTAGTCCTGAATCTCAACACATTTCAGCAACTGATGGACTTTCATGCATGAATATCAACTGGAACAAAACCTGTTGTAACTTTAGTACCTATACAATTGGTAACATATCTTGTCCTTTAAGACACGTGAGAATTTCATCATAGATTATAAAATGATCAGAATTCCAGGCAGGAATGGGACTAAAGTTGCTCCCTCATCTCCCCTCACCCCCAAAAAAACCCCAAAAGCTAAGGAATAACTAAAAATTTTTGCACAGTAACTAATACAAAACAAAGTTCAACAGAAAGAAAAAAGTAATGCTCTGTTTGCTTCATTCTCCTTTGCCTTCCATAAGGAGGTAAGTGTCATAAGGAAAATTTTCTGAAGAAATCATGCAAAACCAATTACTTCTCCTGGGGCAAGCAACTGCTAAGTGACTATCTTGAAATTTATGGCTATTAGCGATCTACTGTGTGCTACTTAATTAGGAAAAAATGATTTAATAAAAAGCAAAACATTTAAGCATTTTAGTCCAAAATTTGAAAAGCACACTTAAGATTGGTCCTGTTGCTGACACGATTCCAGAAGGAAAAATATTATCTTGCCCCTTGACAATACTCAGAAAAATATCCAAACAAAAAGCCAGCAGCAGATAGCTTGTTTTCCTTTCTACTCTCTAGACTTTTGTTCCTCTGGTACCTTGAGCAATCCAACAATGGATACATTCCTAATGGATGAGATATACAAAACCTGAGAGCGCTCATAGTATTGTGTGCACATTAATGATCATAATGATAAAAACCATAATGGAGTATTGTACTAATAGCCACAACTGGCAAAATAATACGATGGGAAATTGTAGCATCTATGCCTTATCAGCAGAGGAGTGGCAGTCTGCTCTATTCAATCGATGCACAGCTCTGCCAGAGAGCAAAAGGAAACAGTGTCCCCATTCTATCTTTCTGAATAGTAATGCTGTGTTATTGTATAAGTGTCAGGAAGAGACAATCCTTCATGGGATCTTTACCACGGCACTTCTATGCTTATAAAGGAACGAAGACTTCCAGACAGAAATATTGTAGGATTGAGAAGTCTGCACGTTGATCTAAATTCTGCATACCAGTAGCACTGCACTTGAAAGATCTCTTTCTGATACATACTCACGCTGTCTCCACTTGCTGGGATTTAGACAGAAGGGCTAGACCTAGGAGCAAAAGCTGCAGCAAAAATGGTTTTCACACTTGTAATAGATAACTTTTTTCTTTTTTGCTCATATCACTGCAGAGGCCATCAGTTACTTCAGATCATTTACATAAAAGCAAGAAGCCAGAACAAAATTATATATTGGTCCACCAAAAATGGTCAACTACTTGTCCAAGTGTATTTCCACTTATCCTAGTATCGCGTACTGAATCTATAGTATGTAGACTCCATCCAAAGTCTTGAGCCAAAAGGATATTTTTTTCCTGTTGGCTTTCAATAACTTTAATTTGGCCATTCACAAAATGCAGTTCATATTGAGGACTGCAATGGAGGATTGTTGGTGTTGGAGCGAGTCCAGAGGAGGGCCACCAAGATGATCAGAGGGCTGGAGCACCTCTCCTCTGAAGAAAGGCTGAGAGAGTTGGGGTTGTTCAGCCTGGAGAAGAGAAGGCTCCAGGGAGATTTAATTGCAGACTTCCAGAACTTGAAGGGGGCCTACAGGAAAGCTGGAGAAGGGCTGTTTACAAGGGGATGTAGTGATAGGACAAAGGGGCAATGGCTTTAAACTGAAGGAGGGCAGATTTAGATTAGATGTTAGGAAGAAATTCTTCCCTGTGAGGGTGGTGAGGCACTGGAACAGGTTGCCCAGAGAAGCTGTGGACGCCCCATCCCTGGAAGTGTTCAAGGCCAGGTTAGATGGGGCTTTGGGCAACGTGGTCTAGTGGAGGGTGTCCCTGCCCATGGCAGGGGGGTTGGAACTAGATGATCTTTGAGGTCCCTTCCAACCCAAACCATTCTATGACTGTTCACAGGAGGAAGACCAGTGGAGGAATCTGTGCATAGCTGTCACACTTTTCCTTAACCATTGCCAATGGGCTGAACTGTCTTGCCTGACTCATTACAGGAATATTTTCTTAGGCAATTTAACAACCTTCAGGCTGTCCACAAGGTAGAGATGGAGGCCCTGGGTTTCAGTCATGCTGAATTCTTGGGTTGACACAGATTGATAGCTACTGCCCCTTGCAACTATTGGGATTGATTCTTCTTTCTTCCCCCCCCACCACCAAGTAAAGCAAGGGTAATATTATTTTCCTAGTATTTCACAGGAAAACTTTAGGGTAAATAATTTTTTCAGAGCATTCAAATGTCACCATAGTGAAGCTCATACAAATGGCAGACAAGAAGCAGACAAGGTACGTTGGTTTGCTTAAACAGGACAAAGCTGCATGAACTGTTCAAGACAATCAAATACAAGTGGTAAAAATGGACCGATGATTCCAGCTGAATAGGATTTGACATAAGAATCCAGTGTCACCACAGTAATTTACTTATGCCAGGTCCTCAGAGCAGGTTATCGGCAAAGGTTATATCTTTAATATCTGTAACAGGTTATATCTTTTGGAACAGCAGTAAGAGTCAGTAACCGTATTCTACCAAGAAGCAATGGAAGATCAATGATGGGAGCAAACGTTAGAAGGAACAAGATGGAGAGGAAGAGACATATCTGACAACCCAGCCTTTCTGCAGCCACTTACATGTAACTGAAAAAAATGAAATTAAAATATTCTCCACATCCAAGCAACAGGGAGAGACACAGAAAACTCAGCTGTAAATACTAGAACTATCCATTGTGCAGTAGAGAACAGTTTTCATGAAGCCTATTATTTTATATACTTTTGCATGCTTGAGCAAACACTCTTTTCAAAGTGTGCAAGGAAGCAATACTTATTTTTTAATTTGAAAGGCACAGTGTTTGCAGACTGTATCCGTTTACCTGCCTGTGTGCTCACTTTCTCTTTTCCCACAGAATATCAATGTTCAGGTTGGTTGCAATAACTTGGAGGTTTCAGAATATTGCATGTCTTAGAAACTGAGTTGTTTGCATTGCTTCTTTTTTGCTGTTTTCAGTAACCAACAAAGAGGAGCTGTTTGCACTGTGCCAACCCCCTATAGCCTCTCAATAACCATCAGAAAAAATTCTATTATTTAAAAAATGGTAAAATTTCCATGAAGAAAAAGATAGAAAAGACTACTTAAAAAAATATCTTTGTTCTTAACATTAAAAAACCACCAAAAAATCTTTGTTGAAAAGGACTTTCAAATTAAAAAAAAAAAAATCACCGAATTCTATGTCTGAACCTATAATTTCTCAGGAGTTCATGACATGGTGTTAAAGTCTTTGAACATCATGTATCCCAGAAATTATATTCTTACTGACCTTACTGTAACTTTTCCACTGCT